TACCTTACTCCTTTATTAAAATAGGATAGATTTCTCAAGTAAATCGTATCATATGCAGTTGGTGGTGTGTTTAAATCATATTGCGTTAAAATTTGTTTAATCATACTCAATCTATTTACAATCATTTATTGTCGGGTTTGTGTCGAATCAAGTTTGTGTCATATATACCTGACTGTTTTGCTTGTCTATTACCTGAGTCGACTAAAGCTAAATAAACATGCTAATTCCATGTCACACGTCTACGGCTATGTTTAGAATTGCCATGCCTATAACATAGCCATCTGAATTGTCTTATTTTGTATGCATAGAATTATCTTATTTTGTATGCATATAATTCCAGACTTTGGTTGCGATAAGCGAAGTGACGAAGCAAGTGTTCAAGGAGAACACAGACTTCTTCCCAATCAAGCCCATGGACTATGGTCGCTTCTTAGTAATCTCAGTTGGGACAGGCTCTGCAATTAATGAACACAAGTACGATTCTCAAAAGGCTTCCAAGTGGGGACTTCTAGGGTGGGTATTTAATGATGGATCAACTCCATTAGCAGATGCTTTTAATCAAGCAAGTGCAGATATGGTTGATTTCCACAACTGTGTGGTTTTTGAAGCACTTCGTTCAGAAAGTAACTATCTTCGAATCCAAGTATGCTTAACCCCATGCTACTCTTGTCATGTTTCTTTAAGTTTGCTGACCGATAAAAAGATATGTCGAAGATGTGAAATCCCACATTTGACGGGGATAAGTAGTTACTAGCTGTTTTTTATTTGGCTAAGTCTGTTTGATAGATTTGATCCCGTAAACCATAAGATCTCATATCTTTAATAAGATATGAGGAAAATGATGGTTTAATTTCATATACATTTGGAGGAGAAGAAAGAAAATTATAATATGCAATGCATAGATTATAAAAAGTTTCAATTCTTATATTAATCATTAGGTGACGCAACTCGTGACGTCTTTTAATTTATTAATCATGAGGTGACTCCAATTTTTTTAGAGCAAATGGTGAAGACAACGAGAAAGCTTATGAGTATGCTACATCAGCATAGGATTTACAATGAGTTGTATTATATTTATGTCGTGTCTAAGTTATGGTGTAATAAAATTTACTCAATCCACTGTTAACACATTTATAATTGGGTATGACAGGTTCATGTGGTGTTTACATTTTGTCATTTATAAGTAGTGTTTTGTGAGTTTGTATTTTGTTTAGTTTATATTCGTGTCGACTTATTTATTGAACGGGTTTAATAGATCCACCCATTTAACATTGAAATCCACTTAAAATAAACTCATACCCATTAATTTTTTGTCAATTTTATGAGAATTGTGTTTAAAATTGGCAAGTTTATGTGCCTTGGAATAGAATGATCAAAATGCATATTTATCTTTCTAAATTACGAGTAATGATATACAGATTTAATCACTAATCTAATTCAATATAAACATTAGATTAATTGTAACTTTCAACATTAAATGAAGCTCACTTTCAAATCAACAACTATTTTCGTCGTGATCAAATTAAGTCCACATACCATTTTCTCTAAATTTCTGCGTCAAGAGTTATGCACCAAACAATGTGGCTGAATCTTATTCATTGGATATTTAGTGTCAAATAGCGGGACCAATAAAATCTAACAACTCACATTGATTTGGTATAGAAATTTTGGTAAAAGTTTTGGTGTGCGTAGAATTACTCTTAATGTAGACTTAACCCCGATAGTCAGCCGCTAAGCTTAAAAGAACATTCGTGCAAGCCTCGACACTTTGTAACCAAAACAAAATGCAGACTTGATAAATGTTATTGTTGACCACAAAACCTGCAGGATGGCACATTAAGCGGGAACCTATCCTCTGTGGACGTCTCTACAAAAAAGAATATGCAAAATCTTGTGAAAGTTGGTGAAGAGTTGTTGGAGAAACAAGTTTCTCGGGTGAATGTTGACACCGGCCTATACGAACCAGTTGAAAATGGTGGAACCAACATGGAAGCTCTCAAAAAGTATAAATCTTTTGTGTTTCATAGCTTTTAATTCTTTTTTTTTTTTTTAAATTATACAGGGTCTTAGTGCTCACTTTGTACTAATACTATTTTTCTTTGTCTTGCAGGTTTGCAAAATTACTTTCAGATGAAAGGAAACTCCGGGAGTTGAAATATATGGATGTATATCAAAAACTTTAAGCAAGTTGGGGTTGCTGCTTCATCTTTAAGTTCGCCTTGATCTTTGCGAACTCAGTTATGGTCTAGAGGCCTTTGTTTGCTTTGATTTCAAAATCCAAAATTTTCATGTGAATTTTATGTAATTTTTTCCCTGGAGTTTTGGTAATTTTTGTTAGTGTTTTTCTATTTGGCACCCCTTTTTTTAAGTTTCTAGTTCTGACATTGTTTATAATGGAATTGATATATGTACCAATCCATCAGGATTGGTGTTATTTTTGCTTACCAAGTGTTGGATTTTAAATATATGTTAAATCTCAACTCAAGAAAACTTGAGGAAGAGCATGTTTTCTTCCTCCACCAATCTAACATGGTGCTTGGCTTAAATCAGAAAATGCGGGCGTGTCAGAACTCTCATGAGTCTAAACTACCAAACACAACGACCTTACTCATACCTCAATTATCCAAACTTTTAGGAGAGCCAATTATCAAAGCGATCTATTTCATTATGGCAGCTAGTCAGAGGAATTCACCAAACCCATGGCACCTCAAAATTTTATTTCTTAAAACTATTCATTTTCAAACTTATTTCTTACATGACATCATCGTAACTCATTAAAGGCGTCATGTCAAATGACGTATTTAAAAACGTCATTTCAAATAACGTTTTGAGCCATGAAAGTTTCATTTAGAATAACGTCTTCTAAAAGTGAATGAATTTAATAAATAAATTTGAAAATAAACTAGGGTAGGGCAAGCCTTTGGTGAAAAACTACAGTTAGCAGCCCCCATTCTAAACAGTTTAAACCTATATTTTTTCACACTTTTGGTTATAATCTCTTCATATTTTCTCGTGACATATCTCATATTAACTCGACATATTCATTTTGGTGGAGTAACCGTAATCACCTTAGACTCTTCAACTTTACTATTGACCTCGGACTAATTTTTCAGTCACCTTAGACTCTTCAACTTTACTATTGACCTCGGACTAATTTTTTGGTAGCCTTACGCTCTATTTGGTATGATAAAAAAATAAAAGAATAAAAAGTTAAAAAATTAAAAAGTTAGAGGGATAAATAAAATATCATGTTTAGTAAGGAATGAAAAAAAGAATGATGAAAAAGTAGATGGATTAATATTTCTTTCAACTTATCAAAATCAATTCCTCCAAAATTAAAAGGAAAGTAGATGGAAAGTTAATTATTTGTGTTGACATGTATCTTATTTGTCTATATATTATGTATACATTCCTTTCATATAAAAATATAATGATAATATATGTATTTATATATATATATTTTTTAACATAAATTTTAAAAAATTAAAAGTTAATTAAATTAAATAAAAAATAAAAATTTAATTTAAAAAAATATTTTTTTCATCTTAACTAGAGGTGAAAATTTTCGATTCAACACGATGATACGACTCAAACTCGACACGAATTTTATGACACAAACTTGAAAATAACCTAACACGCGAACAAGAAATATAAGAAGCTCATAATTTTATAATTCAACACAAAACGACTTGATTATCACCCCTAATTTTAGCCAGCATAAAAAAAATAAAACAAAAAAAGTTAGTCATTTTTATTTTATATTCATCCAATCAAATACAAAGGAAAAAAAGTGTATCATTCCTACTTTTTATCCTTAAATGATAAAAAATATATTCATTCTACTTTCTATCCTTCTTACTTTCTATTTTTCTTACCAAACAGAACATTAAACTTTTCTACAATGAAAAAAAAGACAACATTTTTTTTTTGATTAAAAAAAAAAAAGGACTACTTCAATGGGCTGCTATTGATTGTCAAAATGGTTTACCGTTGATCATATTCCTTCCAACTCATGTGCAACTCATTTTAAGTTATTTTATTCATGGGAGTTGTGAAAATCGACGCATCGTCCATTGCAATCGTTTGCATTGGTCTAGAATGGCAGCCTCAACGGGACCTCATCACTTTCTAAGAGGAATACCATCTTCCACGGACCCCCAAAAATGATTCAGGAAAAGTCGGCACGAGTCTACACGAATAAAATTGAGATTTAATTGATACTTGCATTTATCAAATAATTGTGTGTATCTGATATTTATATTGTTGAATCTTAAAATCACAAGTTCGAATCTCATCAACTTCTCTCATGTAATAGTGTCCGACTCAAAAAAGATGTTTGCATTGTAACTGTAATTCCAAATCGCATGCAGTTGTAATAATTCTTCATTACCCAAAAGAAAAAATCGTCCAAGTGAAATTCAATTCAAAGCCACCATCCAAGAATTCCAAATCAATTCCGACCCATTTAAAATTCTCTTCTTTTTTGAATTCAATTATGAGAGGACACATTTAAAATTTTTAGGGTAAATTACACGTTGACCCCTTCAACTATGACCCTTTCTTCATATTGTCCCTCAACTATCATATTTTCATATTAAACCATCTACTATGTGATTAATTTAATATTACGCCAATTATTAATGTCAGTTATATATCTAATTAATAATTATTTTATTTTGTCTCCCGAACTATCGAGTCTATAGTTTATGGGTCAAAATATAATTTACCCATTTTATTATTTCATTATGTTCTTACAATGTTTGGTTCCAAAGGACTCGAGCCAAAAGCTACCTAAAGTGGACTCGGTCAACGGCTAGAGAGTGGATGGGCACCGTGGGTGGGTGGGTGGATGCCCGCCATCACCAAAAGACGAATCTATTCCCATCCTCCCACCAAACGCCTCGTTCCTCAAAAACAATTCTACCCTATGCAATCTGTCTGTCTTTACCAAAACAGAGGGCACATTCTGATTCTCTTGACAGAAACACCCTTCTCTCTCTCTCTCTCTCTCTCTCTCTCTCAATAGATAGAGATATCTATCTATCTATCTACAGCAATGGCTTCCCTTTCTCTCTCGAAGAACACTCTTCGTTCTCTGCCCCAGACACAGACACTTAAAACCCCTTCGTCTCAGAACCCTCTAATTGTCTCTAAATCATCTGGATCATGGTCGTATGGTCTCGGGCTCTCTAAATCTTTATCTTATTCGGTCTCATCTTCGTTTTCAGTAAAAGCTTCCATGGTAACTAAGGTACGCTTCATTGTCTCCAAATTAAGATTTTTGTTTGTTTGTGTAAATTTTATTTTAAAGTGAATAAAAGTGTAGTTCCTCCAGTCCACCATTAACGTTGAAAGATCGAGAAGAAAGAAATATGAGCCAGAAGACGAAGATCACTTCAAGAATTTTTTTTTTTAATGATTTTTGGCAACAAAATAGAAAAGTTAAATAGGTAAAAAGACAACCTTTAGCGACTAAATTGAAGAGTCGTCGCCGAAAACTTATCACATCACTTTGAAAGAATTGCATTGCCAAACAGTTAATTATTAATTTTTGTGCTTCGTACCTTATGTAAATTCATTAAAAATAAATAAATGTATGGTGCAGTAGTGCAGGAGACCCCACATTTGAGCATGTGGGGCACTTGCCCCAACTGACCTTTCCAAGTATATTATTCTACTATTTCATGCACCTTTTTATATTCTTTCCACCAAGCAAACCACAATTAAGATGACTATAAACCTTTTTTTTTTTTTTTTTTTTTGGGTTTTCATTTAACACTTTTTGGTAAGTTAATGGCTCATAACTCTATAAAATATAATTCGATGCAAATAGTAATATGCTCTAACTCAAAAAAGTTTTTTTTTTTTTTAACGAATTAATTTCTCACCAAAATAGTGGATGATTTCTACTAGATTTTGTAACATAATGAAAAATAATTTTGTTATGAACTCTCTAATTGTGTAATTGAAAGACAATTACTACAAAATTTAGCATAGACTCAAATATAGGTGGACTTTATAATTTAGAAGATGTTGTGTTTTGATTCAATAATTTATTTATATTGAATTTTAATATATTTCTCGTACTTAAACATATTAATTTTTTATGAGCTAGGATTTTTTTCTTTTTTACCCCGCTAATATATAATGTTGGCTCCATCCCTAATATAATGACAAATTAGACCTAAACTTTTCTTCATTGTGAAAAAAAAAAAATAAGTTTTGACAACGATACATTGGTCTCTATTAGGAATAGCAGTGGATCAGGTAAAAATGAGTATTTGTCTAACTCCATCCCGTTTGGACCGGAAATAGATTATACATATTGAACGATGTACATATACGAGGATACCCGTATAAACTCGTGAAAAATGAAGGCAAGGATAGACTGATACTTACCCCCGCCTTACCCCGCTTTGCTTTGCTTTACCCGTTATTATTATTATTATTTTATATATATACACATGTTGTGAATACAAATATACATATTATTGAATGATTTTTTCTTTTAAAAAAAAAATTTTCATGGTTTTGTCTTGTAAAAGTATAAATCTTTGTGTTTTTATATTTTTTAATGTTGAATTATGTTATGTTACATTATGTTGTGTTACATGATATTGTATTGAATTTACAAGGAATACAAACTTTTAATTATATTATAGTGGATTATGTTGTAGACAATGTTTTAATTACATTATGTTGTAAATGATAAACTTTTAATTATGTTATGATTCTATAATTATGTTGGATTATTTAGAATGTTAGATTTATTTAAAATTTTAGATTATATTGGTTTGAACTTCGGCTTGGGGGCGGGGGCAAGGGCGGAGGTGAAGGCTCGGGATGGGACGGGGACAGAGATTACAAATTTACCCCGTAGATAAAGATGAGGATGAAAACTATAGCCGTGTACGGGAGGTGGACTGAAGATGGACAAAATTTTTGTAAGCGGATACAAGAATGGAGACTACACTCCTTACCCCCGCTTCAGTCCAGTGTCATCCCTAATCTCTATAAATCATTTTCTTGTGATGAGGAAAAAATATAAAGGAAGAGAAAGAGAGGTTGTTGTCGAAAAAATTTATATGTATGGCATTCAGGTCTACCGTCAAGCCAATAGCTATAACAGGGCTACCGTCAAACCAACAGCTATAAAAGTTGCGTCAACAAATTAGATCGAAAAATCAGTTGCAAGTAATATTTTACTCATTTTTATATATGAATTTTCACTTACCATTTTCTTTCTTCTTCTTTTATTTTATTTTTTTTGTCTTGTCAATATTAAACCACTACTGATGAAGAAAACAACACCATCCACAAATATGCGGCCTCCAACTTATGGGGATCTTATTACAATTCTTAGTATTGATGGAGGAGGAGTTAAAGGAATCATCCCTGGAGTTATCCTCGAATACTTAGAATCACAACTTCAGGTATCATTTCAATTTCATTAGAACTTCAAGCACCAACATGGATTTAATCACTTGGGTTCTAAGCTTGAAATTAATCTACATTGTGGTGGTGGTGCAGGAGCTAGATGGTCCAGACGCAAGGCTCGCAGATTACTTTGATGTGATTGCAGGAACAAGCACGGGTGGTCTCATAACGGCTCAATTAACAGCACCAAATGAAAATGGTCGACCTTTATATGCTGCGAATGAAATCGTTCCTTTCTATGTCGAGCAAACACCTAAAATCTTCCCTCAAACAAGGTAAAATGGGGTGGGGGGGAATGATGTTTCAGGTTCGTTAATACTAGGAATTACTTTATTTAGAATAGCTCTAATAATGCTAAAAATAAAGAAACTTGAATTGACTAGGCAAGATTGTAATGTAACTCTTTAAAATTTTATTTCTTTCTCCTATTGAATCTTCAAAAACTATCACAGTGGACCACTGGCCAGCATTATAAACTCATTTAAGGCTTTAACCGGACCACGATATGATGGGAAGTATCTTCAGAAACTGCTTAAGGACACACTAAAGGGCACAAGGTTGCAGCAGACTTTGACTAATGTTGTTATTCCATCTTTCGACATCAAACATCTCCAGCCTACTATTTTCAGCTCATTCGAGGTTCTCTCTCTCTCTCTAACACACACACACACACACACACACACACACACACACACACACACAGCTACTAATGGCATTTGCTTGGTGTTTTGTAGGTGACACATGACCATCTGGAGAATGCCCTACTATCAGACATTTGTATCGGCACATCGGCAGCACCAACTTTTTTTCCTGCCCATCATTTTAAGAACACAGACACAGAAGGGAATGAACGTGAATTCAACCTTATTGACGGTGGTGTTGCTGCTAGTAACCCGGTAACTAACTAATGCCTTCAACCCTTAGCACATAGGTATTGGTAAGACTATCGAGTTCACCAGCTTATCGAAAATTTAAAACTAAATAAACATCAGTTATAACTCCTTTGAGGTGAAGTTACCATTCCAAAAATGTCAATTACAGCTTTATGGAGCCTAGTTATAACTAAACAACAGTTAGGGTGTTGGGATCGGTACCGCAGTGTGAGGGTTGAATTAACTACTAACTAAGAACCATAACTGAGTACTTACCTTAATTTGTATGGTTTTTTATGATTGTAGACTTTGATTGCTATAAGCGAAGTAACCAAGCAAAAGCTGAAGGAGAACCCAGACTTCTTCCCAATCAAGCCATTGGACTATGGTCGTTACTTAGTGATCTCACTAGGGACAGGCAATGCGAAGAACGAATACAAGTATAATGCTAATATCGCTTCCATGTGGGGACTTCTTGGGTGGTTGCTTAACGACGGATCTAATCCGTTGATAGATGTTTTTAATCAAGCATGTGCAGACATGGTTGATTACCACAACTGTGTGGTTTTTGAAGCACTCCGTTCACAAAACAAGTATCTTCGAATCCAAGTAAGCTTCATGCCCCACTTCTATGCTTTTATAATTATATATTTATCTTATTAGATGTAGACTCGATAGGGGAAATTTTGTTTTTCTTTTCTTTTCGGAAGGTGCTCAGTAAATTTGGATCTTATATGCAAAACCAGGATGACACTTTAACCGGGACACTATCATCTTTGGATGTGTCTACAAAAGAGAACATGGAAAACCTTGTGAAAGTTGGTAAAGAACTGTTGAAGAAACCAGTTTCTCGGGTGAATCTAGACACAGGCCACTTCAAACCATTGAAAAATGGCAGAACCAATATGGAAGAACTCAACATGTATAAATCCCCCTTTGTGTTTCCTAGTTTTTAACTCCAAATTCTGTATATAGGTTACTTAATGCTCACCTCTACTTGGTATATGTTTTTTCTTATGCTTTGCAGGTTTGCAGAAATGCTCTCAACTGAAAAGAAAGACCGAGAGATGAAATACATGATCAAAAACTTCGAAGGAACTAACAGCGCTGCTTGATCTGAAATCACAGTTTTAAACCAATTTTTGGGTACTAGGATTAGTATTATTTGCCTACAAAATTTTGGATTTGTTCGTATATTTTATTACTAGGTGGCTATGCTCGATAGGTGGTGGATAAGGAAATAATGCTCCACAATAAGATCCCATCAATATTCATGTAAGCGATCTGAAATAGTTATGGTCATATCATAGGTAAGATTCTAGTTTCCCTAGAAGAGAAAAAATGTGCAATGTACACATCAAACAAAATCACATGATGCTTGTGAATTAGAAGAGCAATGCTATCGAGACCAAATTGGATAACTTAATGTGAGGGCTTAATGCATTACAACTCTTGGATCAGTATTGAATCCGAACATTGAATGAAATTTACCATCAATCCAATAGTCACAATAAATTTGGACATTTAATTAAGTTTCCAAATTAAATACAAATAGCACTACTGGAATAAAAATGTGTTGGAAGAATTAGGAGAATGCGTCAAGAGCCAAATTCTTTCCTAAGAGAAATATGTGAAAAGGGAAGAGGATTGGAGTCTTACCTTTTCAAAATGTCAAGGGCAGACAACATGAACATAATAATGCCTCCCCAGATAAAGATTGAAAGTACTCACTATCCCTGAAAAATAAGTAACAAGAGTTCAGTCTCATCACCGTTACACATAACTGAACCAATCGAATAATTCAGAATGACAAGTTCTTTATATCTGACCAGAGCACCTCACATAATTGTACAGAATTGGGGATTTTCACCCAGAAAGTGTGTGTGTATGAACATGGAATATCTATGGTACAAGTTAATAAAATAATATCCGAAACAAATAAATAAACAAAGAAACTGAGTTTCACTACAACTGTGCACTCCAAACTATGCAAATATCTGCTGGATTACAGTCTCGGCATTCCCGTTGTACTGTGCAAGAAGATGGATGGCATCGGCCCTTGGCAAAGCAAGAAATTCCTGCATTAATCATATATATTAGTACTAGCTCGAAAAGAAGAATCTATGCCATGAGAGATGAGATGGTCAGAAAAACTAGGTAGCACGAGAGCCATGACAACGAGAGTGTACATGGTTATCTTATTAGTTCAATTATCCCCTAGAGGAACATCAAGCATCCTGTATATTTATAGCTTTTGCCAAAACAGCAGTAATTATGACTCACCATAACTTTAATAATTGCATTTTCATCACATAAAACATCTCCAGATGATACTTGAGTAGGACTGCTCCCATCTTCCTGCATCCTATTGCTTGAGGATATCGTAACTTGGGAGGATCCATGGGTGCAAGTATCAACATTTGACTTGGAGGCAGCATCAGCAAGCAAAGGAATACTAACTTCTTTCAGCGAGTCAATCCTCAAGAGACCTTCAAAGTGATCTTTACACATCTGAAGTTTAAACCACTCGTTATGTGTGTAAAGGGTTGCTCTCATTATCTTCATAAGAAGGGGTTCTTCTATACCAAGCTTCCGACCAATAGCAACCTGTGCACACCCAATGAATTTGTCAATGTTTCAAAGTCGATGTGCAAAATAAATGAGAAAGAAATGTCCTCTCAATAAAAATCGGCATCAGCGCAAGAAAGAAGTAGGTTTGATGTCAACACAAGTGGATTTTTCTTGTTCTCCTCCTCCTCTAAACTACAACTACTAATTTATGACTCTAAAGTTATGTATACATGTGTTATCATCGAAATATTTTCAAATGAATAATGTGCAAACGCTAAAACAAAATTAAGTTTCCTTGGTCCTGTAGCTGAAATCTAAGAAACACAAACACTTCATTTTGGACAAAGTGTCGGTGCCAAACATGTCTGAGACAGATGCTCGAACACGTTAAAATGAGTGTCCGATTTTTTTATTATTAATTTTTTTTTTTCAAAACATGCTGGGGACATGCTTTGAGATTTATTTTTAATTTTTTGAAAATTTTTCAGATAATTTTATAATTAAGACTTATTTTTGAAATTTTGAAGGGATATAAGTCACAATCATAATTATATCATTACATTAAACATAGGAAATGAATGTAACATAATGTTGGATACAAATGCGAACTTATATACAAATGGAATAAACTTTCAATATAAAAGTAATATTAGAAAAAATAAAAAAAATAGGGTTGCAAAATTAAGACTCTTGAAAATTAATGAAAATTAGTGTTACAAAGTGGAATATTTTTTAAAATAAAAGTTGTAGTAGTCCTTGATTATTGGATTATGGATGTTAATGTTGAATGTGTATCGGTATATCTTATATTATATTTTTCATGCGGTCATATCATGATGTGAATTTTTAGAATTAGGGAAATGATGAATTAAAAAATTATTATGATAATATTTTTATTTTTATCACATTAATATATATATATATATACATATTATTTAACATATCACTAACATGCCCGTATCCTACTTTTTTGAAAAATTTTATGTCGGCGTATCCGTGTCTGTGCTTCTTAGGCAAAAAATAGTAAACACCACTCATGCCTCAATTATATAAACTCCCAAGTATGCAAAGGGTTAAACAGAGACTTGGCTCAAAGGTTGGTTTCACCAATATCATGTCCTAGGTCATGGACCCAACTCCCAATCATGCTAACATCAACAGATTTTGAAACACAAACTAAACCAACCTGTTCACCGTGGTTGAATGACAGGTCCAACAGGTTCTGCAGGATGCGCCATGCATGTATTGTCCAACAACAGGACAGGCCTTTTTTCTCCTTTTTTTTTTTTTTTGGCAGGGGGGTTCATAAACTGACTAGAGCAGGTCAGGTTTTGACATGAACCAGTTCATAAAAGTATTAAAAGAACAAGCTAAAAGCCAAGGAGCACATAATTTGTGACCAATTCATACAAAATCCTTGATTCAGCATGTTGGACTGCATTCATTTCAGCTTCCAGTGAAATGAAATTAATAAGAGCACCCCAAACTTGTGAAAGTTTGAGATGCTTGTCTCAATTACAACAAAAGATAAGTGCAGCCTATCAGAGACTTTAGTTTGGCAATCTATGTAGTAATATGTCAGTCAGTAATGCCATACCTGGAGTGAAGATGCAAGAGCATATAAAGGCACGCGTTCTCCTAGTGCCTCTTCACTAGTTCTGAGCAGGGCCAACAATGTTTCCTTTAAAGGCTTCAGCAAAGCAGGATCGCTAGCTGCCAAAGGGCCCAAATGAGAACAAGCAACCCTTAGTGCACTAGAATGATCACCAGAGCTGACCAGCTTCAAAAATTCAACCTGTAAACAGAAAAATGGCAAATTTTTCATTCCTTTTTAAAACTCAAACAAAATCAAGTTCCCCTCACTATATTCGGGCTAAAGTCATGCATAATACCTCCACACACCTGCTTAAGTTGGAAGAGCAAAAGCGGATTTTGCTCAAAGAAGATTGGGTCTATAGCATTTATTTCTTCCACAACCTCTGCAGCCATTCCTCTGCTTGCTAGTTCCTTCATTGCCAACACAATCTCATACTTGTCCTCCCTGATGTTTATAACATCCATTGTGACTAATTTTTCAGAAGCCTGCAGAACAATAGTCTGTCAATAACCGATTCACCAGGCAACATTATCAGAATCTCCAATTCAGTACCTGTTGTTCTTTTAACATATTTGTTCTGGCAAAAAAGGAATTAGGGCCAGGCTCTTGCTTGTTTCCACTGAAAACCTCAGAAAGAAATTCCAGCTTCTCCTGTCTTCCTCTCCACCGCTTGCGTTTGTTTCTTTCCCCAGTTCCATGATTTCGACTTCTTTGCAGCACCTTCAAATTGTCGGGATGATGTGTCCCACTGGTGCTACAGTCTTCATGGTTGCTTGTTGTCTCACAAGGGTATCGCTCTTTCAAATCAGTATTTTGCATGCTCACCACATCAGCATTAGTTTCAGGAGAGCTTACCAATTGAGCATTATTAACGGAAGTTTCACCATCAGAATGTTTACTGGCTCCATATTCACCTTCAGTAGAACAGTTTCTTGATAAACAACATCCAGGCTCTGATTGATCAACTCTTAAAGATCCAGACACTGTTTGCATTACAGATACTGAAGAAATCAAAGAAAAGCCAGCGAGTGAAATGAGAATTTAAAAAATTTAAAAATAACCAACTGTAGATATGGCAAAGATAGAATATTTACCAGAAGGGGAAGCAAGGCCAGAGTCCACGATACCCCTATAGACACAATACTCGTGAACAAGCTCATCAAGCATGGAAATGTCCATTTTCATTCGGCACAATTCATTCTAGGACCGACAAGAATAAGGAAGATTTGTAAGCTCCAAGAGTTTAGTAATTGGTGCACTAAAATGTTAGCGAGATTATAGGTAGAACTATTTCCAAAACTACCTCCCAAGATACCAACTAAATTTCTGAGGTTGGAACAACCACCAAAACTTAACTGATTTCTCTCCCTCTCTCCTGGTTGGTTTCGTAGTAACGTTTTGTGGTTTTTTGTATTTTTTTTTTGTGGGGGATCTTTATCGGGATTTGAAATATACTAGTGCTAGTAAATATTATTGTTAAGCAACTATTTACTCTAAAAACTTAAGCTATTAGAAAAAATGTAACTTAAGTATTTCTTCTTTTTTTCAATAAGAAACAACATTTTATTGATAATTAAAGGGATAATTACAATAAGACCAAATCAAGTGTGGACAAGAAGTCCAATACAAGTCAAGCTATGAAAACTTATAAACGTAAACATACTACAAGCCGCACGATGACCTTCTAACTTATCTTAATACAAAACTTTAAGTATTTATTCTTCAACAAGCCAGGCTAGATTTTGGGTAGAAAATCTTTTATTAATTAGGGTAGCAGTAAGATTCAAACACAGAACCTTTTACATTGATACCATGTTAAACAATTCTAAGCTATTGGAGAGGGTGTAACCTAAGTATTTATTCCTCAACAATTATCAGTAAAAATCACTCACTACTGACTGGAAAATAGTCTTTGGTATTACATTAGCCCCCATAAATAAAACAGGAGTGATACACATATCAAGGGTGATGTTCATCCCGACAAGTAAAGCTCTTCCAGGGAAATGGTTGTCAAGGTTACACATAGAAAAGAATCCTCTCAGGCACTGAATGATAAGAAGCAAAGTTGGGTACACTATACTCTTTTGTAATATTCAGATTCTATACGGCCATTAAACAATTAACTTTCCATGGAAAACCTGTTACTCAAAATGTATTCAGGAATTATGTAAATTCATTTGGATACAAGGATCCAAGCAGTGTTATCAGAACCGGACCGGACCGGACCGACCGGTCAGACCGGTTCAACCGTGAACCGGGACCTTGACCGGTCCGGTTCTATAATTGGACCGCTTAAGGAATAAAACCGGCTAAAAACCAAAAAATCGGGCGATTCTTTAAAAAAACCGTGAACCGGCGGTTTTATAAAAACCGGCCGGTTTAATGCCAATTTAAAATTTAAATTACATAAAATGAATATCTCAACTAAAGCTTGGATATTTTACTGCCCTAACCCCTAAGTGCTGAAGCTAAATTGTTGTCCAGACTCCAGGGCCTCCATTCCAAGCGACTGCAACGGTGCAACCAAGCTCTAGCGATCCCCAGGACCACCACCAGCAAGCTCCAACGACCACTACCACCAGGCTCCAACGACCACCAGGCTCCAGCAACCACCACCACCAGGCTCCAACAACCACCACCACCAGGCGACTGCGACCAAGGCTCCAGCGACGGCGACCAAGCGACTGAGACCAAGGCTCCAGCGAGTCAGCGACCACCACCAGGCGACTGTGATTACCAACCACTACAATCACCGACCAGAGACCAGCCACTATAATCAGCGACCATCAAACTCAGGCAAGATTTTCTTGATTTGGGTTTTTTTTTTGCAGTTTCATTGAATCTACAACAGTCTTTCAAGTTCTTCCATTTCTTAATGAATCTTTATATGGGTATTTTTTGCTACTTTGATTCCCCTTTGCAGATTGGTCTTTTGAAATCTATTTATCTAGGGTGTTCTAATTGGACTTCAATTTTTTGGGAAATTGGAGTTGAGGAACTGGGGAATTTGAAGGATGTTAGGCTCAGGTATGAATTTGATTACCACAGTGATTGGATTGGGATGAGTGCCACATTTATTGTATTTGTCTTCACTAGAAATTTGATTTAGAATTACTAATTGTGTTCTTGTAATAGTCCATATTAATGATCTCTATATGTGATTATGTTGTTTCTGTTTAAACTTTAAAATTGCATTTTGATCTTTAGTGCTGATTTGGTTGTTTATCGAATTGCAACCATAAGGGATCATTGATGTTCCATAGCTAATGGGTAATCATAAATTTGATTATGTTGTTTTTGCTTAGCAAGCGTGGGTAAATGAATTAGATTTTTGCTTAGTTAAATAACGTAATACAAAACTTAGGGTATATGATCATATTTTCAGTTTGGATTTTTGTTGTCATTGTTGATTTTATGCTTTCAGTTTGTTTGCTCTAGCAAAATGTCATCTTCTGGCACACTAAATGAATCTACTCCAACCCCAAACTAGTTCTACAGCTTATTTAGACATCTTTTATTTAACTTCATTAATTTTATGACAAATTGTATGCATTTTAGACATATTTTATATTTTTTAGCTAAATTATTATGTTTTCTAATTATTATATATTTTTTTTTATTTTTTTTATTATATGGCCGGTCCGACCAGTGACCCACTGGTTGAACCAGTGAACCATTGACCCAATCTCCTAGCCGGTTCGATGACCAATCCGATGACCGGTCCAGTTCTGATAACATTGGATCCAAGAGTTATTTTCAGAAGGATCCTAAATAGGGAGGGTAAGGGTACTGGGACATCCATACAGATTTCTATATTTCCTTGTCTCTACCATTTCTTGCAACAGTATTTTCTTGAGTTCTCATTTTTAATGAATCAAAACAACCAAGATAATGTTGTACCCTATTTTACTTTTAAAACACAGAAGGAAGTTCATCTTTTCGGTTTTCACATCTTGCCAAAAGGTAAGATGCATGACATCTGGAAAGTAAAGAAACTATTCCTGTAGGTCCCTTCTACATTCTCAATCAGAAGGCCTAGACATCAAAGTCCATTCTCATATAATTAGCAAATACAATAGCCGATAATATATATTCTATCCTAGAAAGTAACTTCCAAAAACCGACGGTAGCATATAACTTGTATCCTGAAAGCAATTCCCAGAAGAGTGTGGCCGCCACACAAGGCATGGATGAGAATAATCAAAATTATGGGCTCAAGAGGCAAGAGCGATGATCATATGAAGGAGAATCAACCAAACTATTGCCCCCATGAAAAGTGGCAGACTACATAGAGAAAATCAGATGTAAAATGACGTTCAGCGGAAAATTGATTAGGCCAATCATCATTGAGCAGACGGTTCTAGCAAACTGAAAACTGTAAACTGTGGGGCCCAAATCCATTTCTACATCCATACATTGTATATCTCATGGCAATTGAATGCTTAAATTGGCTGAAAGTATGACCAAAGAAGCATGACATTATTCTCCAAGTAATGAGGAGAATTCAATTGCTTATCCAAACCAAGCACGTGACAAATTGGAAAGAAGAGATGTTTTCTGGACATTAAAAAATCCAATACTCTGAATTACATCAGAATACATCAGTGATTTTCTTTTTTAATTTTTTTTGGTCAATAGGGACTTTGAGCCTAAATAAAGGCAAAATAGGTGTATAGCCACTGAAATTCGTGTATCTAAATTCGAAACTAACCAGGAAAAAACCTAAAAACAAGAATTCGCACACCCCTAACTTAGTAAGGTTGTTACTTCCTACAACAATTTCAACAACTTGAAAAGCAAAACAAACTCTTGTTCACTAAGTCGTCATTGCTTGAAAGGACATGTTGTTCCATAGACTTCTACAGCACACAAACAATTTAAAAGATACTAAATTGTATAATAAAGAAAGAATAGAATTTCAACGACTTGAAAATCAAATGAAACCCTGTTCCATGAGTCACCATTGCTTGACAGGAGATGCTGCGTCATAGAAGCTAAAAGAATGTTTTGTTGATACACCTAGGACATGTATTCTATATGACCCAATAGATCATGACAAGTCGTTACTACTAGCAATGACTTCCTCTTTCATTATTTCCTTGTTTCCATCCTTCTCCTTTGTTCTCAGTTACTCATCAAGTGTCCCTTCATATCTTTAATTCGATCGGCAATGAGGTTCGAAGTAAGGATGGGTCATTGATAAAGAACCAATTCCAAACCACAATGCTAGGAGAGGGCAAGCCCCACTAGAACACATATATAACAATATAAAATTGTATATTAACCTGAAATGCTTGAAATAAGTCCCCCTTAGCAACTCTTAAGCTATCAACTGCTCCTTGCCTTGTAAGCTCCACAGCATGTGCAAGAGCTTGTATGTCCACCTTTTTTCAGAATCGAACATGCAAAGTTAAACTAGGATAATATACAAGCTAGTAACTGCAGAAAAAAGTTTGTGTGTGTGTCTGTGTGTGTATGTGTGAGAGGACCTAATAGCCCAGCACCTGAGCAAATGACAATGCATATGTCATCGTCAGCCGTCATGATGCCAAACAACAACACAAACAAGATTTTCAAAAATATCTCACCTCATCAAATGGAGGGGCTTCATACAAACTTTCCTGTGGTGTTGCAGCAAAGTCACGTTCCTCAAGGAGCAACCTCTCAGTAAGATCTGAGACAGGTGATGAAACTCCTTGACGTAAGCAAAATCCCTTGTGTATGCTGTAGATGATAGGAGTACATTTATCAGGAAGAAAGAGAGGGAGAGAGAGAGAGAGAGAGGAAGAGGGAGCAAAGGAGGGTAGATGTTCACCAAAGGTGGACGAATGAAAAGCAGGAGCAACCTTATCAAATATCTCAATGTCATCGAAAAGACTGGATCATATGCATGTAAATGAGCCCTTAAGACAGAAGACATCAATCCAGCAATGTCGAACCTCCTCCTTTCAGACCACTGAAAACAAAAACAACAATTATGTCATGCATCTACTGCATAAACGCGGGCTTTCAAGATTCATAACCATATTTGAAAATTATCATCAAATCATCATATGCACATGATTTATTCATCATAGAATATCTAAACCTCCAATACTTTGACTATAAAAAGTGCTGCCTTTCGAGCAAACTGAGAACTACATGGATTTGCTTTAGTTGAACAAAACAATGAACTTTCTTTTTTGAGGTAATGTTAACAACATATTTAGAGGTATTTGTGGAGCCACTGTATTAAACAACACCTTCCAGCTTTTTTCCGACAAGTGGACTAATTCTTTAGACTGCCTTGGATCAATTGAAATGGAGGCCTCCCCCACAAGGGACATCTTAGTTTTTAACTTTCAGTTCAAAACATTTGGCGTATACTTTCAAGTTCATAAAACACTAATAAACTCAAAGCAATGAAAGCATGATTCCTAGTTGTTCAAGATTGTCCCACATGAATAAATATTAATTCCTAAAAAAAATTATTTGGATCATGGGTCAATTTGGTGCGTGGTTAACTCAATTTTGCCTCTTATGGTAATTTTTTATTTATATCTTTTTGGTTTTTCTTCTTTCTCCTTTAACTATTGTATTCAATTTTTTATTATTTTGGTTCTATTTGGGGGGTGGGGTTGTGATTCGGGTCGTGATTTTTTGGTGATTCAATTCGTCAACATATCCCGTTTCCCCATAATCTTCTCTCTCTCTCTCTCTCTCTCTCTCTCTCCACGCATGAGTCGGAAGCATATTAGAGCTTGTCCCACATCGGTAAAAGTGCCTCTTAAACTAGTATACAAGCCTTGTGGGCGTCTTCACTTATTGCAAGTTAATTTTGAACTGGGTGCTTAGAGCATCTCCAATAGACTCTCTATTCCCACTCAACTCTCTATTTTAGAGAGTCAACTACCAAAAATCAAACTCCAATAGACTCTCAATTTAAACTAGCTAAAATAGAGAGCCTAATTTATTCTATTTTTAATGAATGAAAAGATGACACATACACATTCTTCATTAAATACTCTTTGACTATAAGACTATTCTTCTACTAGAATAGAGAAGCTCATTTGAGTTGATTAAAATATTTCCCTTTCTATTTCAAATTTTCATGAAAGATGCTCTTTATTTTTAAAAAGATACTCTCTAAAATACAGAACATTATTGTAGATAATTTTTAAACACTGGGACCATAGACCTAACCTATTATTCCAGTAGTCACTAGTCACCAATTCTGCTTTTTTACTCCTTTAATTTCTCTCTTCTCCCTCAAAGTAAGCACAAATAATATAGGTCTGCACATATGGCCGGCTTTACAACTATTAAACCAATTCCTACTATCTTATACAGGTTACTACCCATGTTGATTACAAACAATCTTCTACTCAAAAAGAGCATAACAACAGGCTTCATCCATATAGCTATATTTATAGGCATTGCCAAGATTTTTTAATTCTGGTTCTCGTCTTAAATCAAAATAAAAGGTGCTGATATCGTTTTTCATTGCAATAAATTTTTTAAAATAATCTGAGTCCCAATATTCACTCATCGAGACTTTGTCTAAATTATTTTGTTTCCTACTACTTGAACAATGTTGTAAATGACACATATTTACTTATTTCTATGTTGTTACTTCTTTGTTTCAAGTACTCTTGCATATTCTTCTACTTTTAGAAGCTTTGCTCAATATTTGACTTCAAATATTTAAAACAATTCTTTTGAATACAATCCCATTCCAAATTCAATTTTGACATCCTTGAAGGCTACGGATGCTCTTCTCATGAAGAGGAAAATACTTCTCTAGAAAGGTTTAAGAACGAGACATAGTACAATAAGAATAATTATTCAAATTAATCCATTTAACTCCCCTTAAATCCATATGAAACATCATTAAGCAGTTTGGCCCTCGATAATGCTGAGAGGGTCAGATTAGGGACACCTAAATATTTGGATTCCCAGTAAGAGACTGTTATTTCGGGGCAGATGTGTTAGAAACATCTAACACAAAACTAATTGGCAATGGAAAGAGAAGTATGATAACATACTCTAGAAGTGCATGATATTTTGTAGTCTTAACTGCCAAGCAAGAAGGAAACTTCCACCTACCTCATTTGCCACTGGAGAGGACTGATCATCTTTGTCATAAATGAAGGCAAGAAGAACATGCTTAAATTCCTCATATGCTTCCTTACAACCAAAAACATACATATGTCAAAATTCAAAAGTAGAAAAAGAAAATAACTATCAGACAAGAATAAAGAATAAAAAATGGTTGAACCCGAACAACAATAGCTTAAATAAATGGTTTCAAAGAATCTTTATTTTGAAACACCACAAATAGCATATGATCCAAAATGGTATAAGAAGTGTAATGACCACATGATTCCTATGAAATCTTATACTCTGAGAGTCAAATCAAACAATAATACTTTTCAAGAAGAGATATCCAAAAAACATTAAATTATCTTCATTTTGAGCTTCAGTAACAAAAGAGTTTGAGAATATCCCTCTTTTTTAAATCAAAACAAGTTAGATAGCCTCATGTAGAAGATTGTGTGAGTGTGCTAGATCTAGGACTTCGATTTTGTGGTTTTCATTGTTTTGTTTTTGTTGCTCTTTTTTTCCTACTTTTGTTTGTTTTTAGGGCAGGACAACTTGTCCAACTCTGCTTGGATAATATAAAATTTTATTTTATCTATCCATAAAATTTGTTTCCTACAAAAAAAAAGTAAAACATAAATTATAAACTCTGGACTTAGTTGAGTTTGATAATATGACAACCAAGTGCAGGCTGAGCTTAATACTAGACCCAGAGCCACAAGTCATGTCACAACTTCCCATAGCAAACCCATAAGATCATAATCGCTTATTCCAGACTCATATTTGCATAAATTAAGAATTTAAACCAATATATTTTTCTGTAAAAGGGAGAACCATATTATTCAAAAAAAATGAATGAATAAAAAACAAATCACCTACGATAGCAAATAAACCAGTCGTATAATTGTAGGAATATCATAAGAAACGAATGAAGCAAAGAAAACAGTAAAAGCAGAAAGAAAGCAAGTAAAGGAACAAGCTTTAACATACAGGATAGGCATTAAGGGCACAGGGCGCAAGTGCAGTCCGCAAACAATTGATTGCAGAATCACGATCTTCCACAGTTCCCTTCCTCAGAAGCTCAATAAATTTCTGCACAAATATCATCGAAATCAAGTCAATAGAAAACCTCGACAAACCTTGCAGACTCTTATTTAGAATTGGAAACATTGCAAACCTTAAAGGCATGCATCTTCAAGGCAAAAGTACAGGGGTTCATTTTATTTTATTTTTGTCAATTTTTCTATTTTAACCGCTCTGTAGAACAGAATTTAAATTAATCTGCGTTATGTGGCTGATACAATGCATGGAGAGTCCTGCCAATTTATAGATTCAGATTTACGATTCAACTGAATGCGTATTTGATAACCTAAGAATTAACCCTTGGAACTGCAATTGGAGCAAAAATAGAACAAACTTTTAGCTAAAATGTCTAATTCACAATTTGCTAAGTGTCAATTCAGTTTCATTCCTTGGTAATAAACAGGAAAAAGAACACTTATAAGTTCTAACTTCCAGTCCTTTTCTCATATTTTCCTCAGTTTCTTTGTCTTTTAAAGCAAAAGCTGAGAATCTAAACAGAGGTGTAAATAACACCATTACCTGCTTCTGCAAGCGGAAGAGAAGACGGTGATCGTCAAGGATTAAAGGAGCGTGAACGCGAAGGAGATCCGTGGCGGCATCAATGTCACCGGCCTCTAACAACCGTCTGATCTGCCGAATCAGCAATCGCGACTGGTACAACGAAGACGAAGGCGAAGACGACGGAGACGATGACGGTGAAGAACAAGAAGCCGTGTCTTCGACTAGGTTTTCGGATTTGGCGAAATCAATTACCAGAGCGTCCAGAGTTTCCCAATTCACCGGTATTGAATCCATGCTTATTTTGCTTGGCGGGGGAGAGAGAGAGGGAGAGGGGTTATCAGGAAGAGTTTCCTGGAGGCAAGAAAGGCGGCGATCGACGGTGAAAGTTGATTGGAGGTTACAGAGGGTGCCATGTGTCCTGTTGCTAGGTGTATTTGCAAGGGTTATGCTAGCGTCACCTGAGTAGTAATGTTATTATCTCACCCGCATTAGCCACGTGATACGGCATTGGGCTTCGTCTTCGTTTTGGTTTGTCGAGGGAAGTGATCTACAACTATTTGAGAATAAATTCAAAATTATTTATTAAGAGTTTGTCTAAAAACAAAATTAAAATTATTAATAGACATGAATCTATTTGAATCGAGTTTTAGTTTCTAGGGATTTTATTCTATAGTTTTTTCTTTTTTGTCGAACCATCATTCTATAATAATTGACTAAGAGTAATCCGTATTTGAAAACATTGTGCAACTTAAATCAACCGATTAATTTAAAAAAGTGAATAGTGAAGATCCCTAAGAGCCGTGGCGGAGCTAAAAATATTATATAGGATGGACATACTTTAAGTATAATAGATGAAAATAATGTGATATATTTATATTTTTTATATCACATTTGATACTTAAAAATTCATTAAATATAAACGACGTCTATTTAAAAAAAATTAATAAGATAACATTTATACATCAAAGATCAATTATATAATTTATTTGATACAAATAAAATTAATATTCTATCATTTTTAATCTTCTTACAAATTTCATATTTTACTCATTTTTGACTATATATTTCATAATTTTTGAACCAAAGGAGAATTTAACAAATCACACCAATACTCTAACGAATCAATTTTAGTTTGTTAATTTTAAGAGATTTGATATGAATTTTTGTGTTTTTTGTTTTTTTTTTTGTTCTAGTACCCAACTTATTTGATACAATTAATTTTGTTTTTCATAAATCATTATAGTGGGTCCAATTAATCCAAAATATATATATATATATATATATATAACATATATAACTTTAAAAAAAAATTATTCAAGGTGGCCCCAAGCCCTCTTGCCCCTCCTCCCTCCGCCTCTACTAGAGAAAGAGAGTGAAAAGTGAGAAGAGTTGGTAAAATTCAATATGAATGATATTGAAATAAATGTTGGTAATCGTTTGATGAGTTTATTTGAGATCATCGGATGAGCTTGTTAACGCCGTTATACTACTTTATATTATATACTAGAAATTACTCGTATCTGAAGACACTATATAACTTTTAAAAAAAATCAACGAACAACAATCAAGTTAGAGGCATTATATAACTCATAAAAAAATCGCAAATAATTACTCTTACATGAAGGCACATAGTAACAAAAAAAATTAATATATTATGCCTCCTCAATAGAGTTGACATTAATTTGAACTATTTATTTTATTATAACATTCGACAAAATTTTCTTAAAAAACATAACCCAAAATTATCGAACTCGTCATCATGTCACAATCCTACCTTAATTCAATCATTTAGCAATCTCACAACATATAATCCAACAAATTAACACAAAATATAATTCAACATTATATTTCAAAGTCCAATCCAATCCAACCAAGTTAAGAATACTTATAATAAGGAATGTATACAATCTGGCTTAAGCTCTATGCTAATGAATTTTTGGCAGCATGGTAAGGAATAAATACAAAAAAAAAAAAATACCTTGTAAAAAATGATCTCACAAATGTTGCATTATATATAGTGTTATTTTCTAATAAAAATGAACATGTTATAAACAAAATCACAAGAAAAATAATAACGCAACGAAATAGAAAAATATAACACAAAGATTTATGTGGTTCGGCTCAACAAGCAAGCCTACATCCACGAACGAAACACAACGTCAAAATTTTACTATTGAAAAGTTGGAGATTACATCGTTCTCAGAACAAATCAAAGAGAAAACTAGAGATATGCTCTATTCCAATAATAAAATATTTATTGAATTTAAAAAAATAGAGCAATATCAATTTATCACATACAAAGAAAACTCTTGTAATGTCGTCAATGGCCAACCACTAACTCACTAGAGAAGATGTACTTTTTATCTAGCTTCTAGACTAAGGAATTTGATTCCTTCACAAAGTCTTTATACTGAGGAGGTCTCACGTGTAGGACAAAAAATCAAAGACTCTTTGAAGGCTTTGAGTTTAAACAACAAAAGTCCATGTTGGACTAAACTCCACTAAAATAATAAAACTAAGATAATCTTAATTAAGGTCAAACTTGTCTATCAAGGACTCCAATGAAAACTCATGTCTTCAATTAGACTCCATATAAAAAACAATTGACTTGAATACAAGTCATCACAACAAATCTCTGAAGTAAACTCAAATCATTACTTGCAAGCAAAATATCATCAACATAAAGAACAAGAAAAATAAATTTATTCTCACTGACTTTAAGATATATGCATTAATCCATCTTATTCTCAACAAAACCAAGAGAATTTACTAGCTCATTAAATTTCAAGTACCATTGAAGAGAAGTCTGTTTGAGACCATAAATAAACTTCTTCAACTTGCACACTAATTATGTTTTTTCCATTTTCCTTATAACCCTCAGGCTGCATCATATAAACTTTTTCACTAAGCTTATCATTCAGGAAAGTTGTCTTCACATCCATCTGGTGAAGTTCTAGATCAAAATGAGCCACTAATGTCATAATGATCCTGAAAGAATCTTTAGTAGAGACATGTGAGAAAGTTTCATTAAAATCTACACTTTCCCTCTGGCTATACACTTTTGCTACCAATCTAGCTTTAAATCTTTCAATCTTACCTTTAGAGTCCATCTTAGTTTTAAATACTCATTTGTAGCCAATGGGTTTACATCCCTCATGAAGTTCCACAAGCTCCCACGCTTCATTGTGTGCCATAGAATGCATCTTATCTTTCATGACACCTACCCACATATCAAACTTATGACAAGTAATTGCATCATGAATGTTACAGAATCAACAATATCACTATATCATAATCATTTTCCCTAAGATATACATAATATTCATCAGAAATAACAAGTCTTATTGGTCTTGTAGATCTTCTCAAAGAAATTTCAGTAGAGCTAAGGAGCCTCAATAGGAACAGAAAGTTCAATTGCAAGAATAGGAGGATCAACAACTAGAGCCGAAAAATTAATAACAGAAGCATGTATAATATTCTTTTGCACAACAAGTAAAGAAATATAAATAAATTTATCTTGCTCATGCTCGCTAATAGGCTGTGAGCAACCAATATCAGCAACATCAAGCTCCAGATATTTTGTTGTTAAGGACTCAAAAATTTTAGTACTACGTGCAGAACAATAGAACCGATATCCTTTAGAATGTTCTGGGTAACCTATGAAGAAACAACGAGTAGTTCTAAGATCAGTTTTTTTCTCAAAAGAGTTATAGATTTTGATTTCAGTAGGACAACCCCAGACTCAAAAATAGTTAAGGCTTGGTTTCCTATTGGTCCATAATTCAAAAGGTGTTTTTGAAACTGATTTGCTATGAACTCTATTAAGAATGTATGAAGCCATTTTAATGACTTCTCCCCAAAGATAATCAGGTAAGTTACACATACTCATCATACTCCTCATCATATCTTTAAGGGTGCGATTACGCCTTTCAGCCACATCATTTTGCTCGGGACTACCAGACATGGTATATTAGGCAACAATCCCACAATCTTGTAAGTGCTTGACAAACGGTCCTAAATACTGCCCAAACACGTCATGTCTGTTATAATACTCACTACCACAGTTAGACCTAATAATTTTGATGACTTTTCCTAATTGTTTCTCTACCTCAGTTTTGAAATTTTTAAACTTTTTAAGAGCATCATATTTTTCATTAATTAAATAAATATATTCATAACGGTAGAAATTATCAATAAATATAATAAAATATTTATTACCACACAATGTACGTGAGTAAGGTCTACTGATGTCAGTGTGAATGATTTCTAAAAGATCTAGACTGCAAGTTGTATTTTTTTTCTTAGTCTTGATCAATTTACCCTTAATACAGTCAATACAAGTTTTAAGGTCTTTAAAATTAAAGGGAGGAAGAATATCATTCTTTATTAATCTTTTCATTCTTTCTCTATATCATTCTTTCTTAATCTTTTCATTCTTTCTCTAGAAATGTGACTCAAACGTTTATGCCACAACTTTGAAGATTTTTCTTTAATGCAAGGTCTCTTAGATACAACATTCACAATATTTGAAAGATCATATTCATTATTGACAGCCAAACATATACTATATAGACCATGTGATTAAATACAATGACCAACAATTTTGAAATTTAAAGACAATTGAGTTTTATCATTACCAAAATTAAAACAATATCCAATTTTATCAAGCAAAGAAATTGAAATCAAATTCTACCTAAATGACGGTATATAAAAAGTATTTTCTAAAACAAGTTGAAAACCAGTGTCCAAATTCAACCTAACAGTTCTTATGAACTCAACATAGACTTCATTGTTATCTCCTATTTTAAGCTTGACTTCTCCTTCACTTAGCCTCCATTTGCTTGTAAATCCCTACAAAGTCATGGCAACATGAACAGAAGTCTCATTATCAATCCACCAAGAATTTAATTGGACATTAACAAAATTAGATTCAAAGCAAACAAAAGCTAGTGAATTACATTCTTCTTTATTCTTCTTTTCTAACCAAAACTTGAATCGAGTGCACTCACTTTTCTTATGATCTCTTTTCTTGCAAAAGTAACACTTGACATCTTTAAATGACAACCTTAGGATCTCCCACATTCTAACCAGTACCATATCTTTTGAAATCTTAATCATTCTTTGGAGTATTATGATTAGATTTTCTATTATTTCCCTGATACCGACCTTTGAAACTAGATTTAGGTTAAGAAACAAACAAGACAGTTTCACTTTTTTATTTTCTAAGTTTTTCTTCCTCATAATCACACTTGAAGATAAGGTCATTAATTGTCCAATACTCACTTTGGGTGTTGTAGGCAGTTTTGATTTGACTGAACTTAGGAGGCAAAGAGTTAAGAGTGTGATGAACAATGAAATCATCAGGAATACCAATTTTGAAGGCTTTGAGTTTGGTTTGAACATGAACCATTCTAAGGATATATTCTCTAACACCACCTACATTGTCATATTTCATACTCGTTAATTCATTCATTAGGCCACCAGCTTCAGTCTTATTGGATACCTTGTATCTCTCTCCTACAGCGGTGAAGAACTCCTTGACATTCTTGGTTTCAGGCAAGCCATTCATAAGGTGTTCAGAGATAGATTTTTTCATAGCAATCATATTTAGCCTATTAGATTTCTTCCACTTTGCATAAAATTCTTTTTAATCAAGGGAATTCTCACTAGTAGGTTTAGCAGGTTCATTCTCTTTCAAGGCAAAGTCTATATCAGCAATTCTCAGGGCAAACTCAATATCGTGCTTTCATCTCTTATAATTAAAACCAGTCAAGATTTCAATGTTGATATTATTACTATTCACAACAAAACAGACTGTACAAGGCAACGAGAATATAAACAATTAGCAAATTGGGCAATAAATAAATAAAATATGATTTGAACATAATAAGACATATTTTATTAAGAGAGACTAAATACATCACTACAAACTCCCATTTGAGTAGAGAATACAATATGCTATAAGTCATATCTTTTCATAAAACTAACCAATGACAATGCTCAAGTTTTAAAAATTTTATCCCCTTTGGACAAATAAACCTTCTAGCTTATTGCATCTCTACCATAATATTTCATAACATCTCCAAATTACAATACACAATAACCCACTTTGGGCAAGTAATTGTATATTATAATTTAGAAACAATCTCGTAACAAAAACATGAGAAAAATTTATAAATTTCAATGAATAGACCGTTTTAGTGGCAACCATCCATCTTAACTCATAAATTTTTTCAAACCGGGATATTATAATAAATTGCTCATAATTTAATATCATATGATCAATCAATATAAGGTACTAAATAATATGTATCTCTTTAAATCACTCATCATCAATCGTTATATTTAGGTGTCAATTCTATTTTTACTTTTAAAATTAAGTAATTTAAATTCACATCTACCAACATTTAATAAATAATATGTAGATCATAAAATAAAAAAAATTTCATCATATAGAATTGTACAAATACCCTCTACAAATTATAGTAATTCAATCAAAATTACATTAACATAAAAAAAAAAAATTGTATGGGTAAGTTTACATTTATTCATCAATATGACCACATATTATTAACACGAGTCATCCACAAGAATTAATCATAAAAATTTTAACATATAAAAGTTTTGACTTTGATGCAGCAATGTTATCAGAACCGGACCGAACTGGTCGGTTGGACTAGTTTAACCGTGAACCGGGACTCTAACCGATCTGGTTATTTAGTTGAACCGCTTAAGGAAACGTACCGGCTAAAAACCAAAAAATCGGCCGATTTTTAACAAAAAACGTGAATTGGCGGTTTTATAAAAACCGGACGGTTTAATGTCTATTTAAAAATTAAATTACATAAATAAATTTTTTTACCCTAAATTAGTAAATAACTGATTTTTTTTAACCTTATTCTTAGATAAATTATAAATGACACCCTTTCTTTTTCTTTATAATTTACTTGAACCTCTTTACTTTGCTTTAAAATACAATAACCCCTATTTTGTTACTTAATTTCATTAATTTTATGACAAATTATATGTATTTTATACATATTTTATATTTTTTAACTAAATTATTAAATTTTATAATTATTATATATATATATATATTTTATTTTTTTATTTTTTTATTATATGACCGGTCCAACCACTTGACCCAACAATTAAACCAATAAACCATTAACTCAATCCCCTTGTCAATTCGATTACCGGCCCGATTCCGATAACATTATTTTGATACGAAGATCTCACTTTTTTTTTCTTGGCCGCCGTCATGATACAAGGCCCAGGTTATTTATTTATTTATTTTTCTTCTTGTGATATACTGCCGCCATCCATCCATCCATCCACGCCTTCCCCTTTTTTTCTCTTTTTCTTATTGTGACCCAGTGGCCCATTCAAGATACTTTCCCACTTTTTTTTTTTACTTCTTTCCTATGACGTACAGGCCGCCAAACCATATGATGGTTTCATCTTTTTTATTTTTATTTTTTGATGAAAAGTGTTGTAACTTTGAATAGAAAAAAAAGGGCAGCATCATCACGGAGACGGTGTGATTCCACACTGTATGAATCGGGGTCATAGACGGTGACATAAAAAAAAATTGAATTCTGGGCTTGAGTCATAAAATTGTAATACTAATTTTATCGGGACCTAAATTTATATACGATAAACTTTGACACCACATGTAAAAATTTTTAATGATTCTTATATGAAATTTAGAACACCTAAATTATAAAATTTAGAACATACATGTATGAACTATGATACTCGATTTCCGAATTTCTTTCTTGAAAGAACAAGGTCTTCATTTTCTTCTTCAAAAGGATAGACGGTTCTCAATGGACAAGCCAATTTAAGGTTATGAAGTAGAGAGGAGACCTAACATGCTATTTATAATGAAATCTAATGGACTCTCCTATTATGGGCTACAATTAGATTAAGACCTATACTTAACCGCCTCAACCATATCAATTAAAAGATGTACATAAGCCCATCAAAATATATCACTTAATAATATTGGATTCTATCTCATTGGACTATAAATTCAACCCGTTTTTCGCAATCTAAAATTAACTATCAATTAATGGCAAAAAATTCCAACAGTAGGTACCCCAGTCCTTGATGATATGGCCAACCACAATTCTGAATCCCAATTCCTTCGACAACATTCAGAATTCTCTTTTCCTGACCACGTTTAGTTTAGAGAACAGATCCGCAGCAAAGTGTTCGGCAGCAAGTCTTGTTGAGATTCCCAGCTTCCAATGGTTCGCAAATCACGGCATCTGTGATTAGCAATAAGACCGTCTTATGCAATAAGGCTGCATAAACCAAAGTGAAAAAGGTTCAGGTTTTTACCTAATATGAGGATAGAATTCAAAGGAGGTCATGTGATCGGGTCCCATGTCAGGCACAGTTTCCACGACCCAAGAGCACTGGTGTACATAGATTTAACATGAGAGAACTATCTGCCAGTCCCAGTCCTATCCCTCCAATAATTTGATCTCACTTAGCTTTTATTTCTACACAGAATTGCAAAATAAACTGTAGAAAACTACAGGAAAACAATGCCATGTTTGATAGTACATGTTTAAAGTCAGAGGTCACTGCAAAATGCCACTTAAAGGAAACAGATTCTCCACTGATATGAAATTAATGTATCTGCAAAAGAAAATGAATGACTTAAAGAATTTTGTTTTGCCTGAACACATGATATAGTTGCAGCTATAGTCAAATCAAATCACCATATCATGGTTTTTCGTCAATGCTTCTTGTGGATGTAAAGTGTAACCAGATGTTTCAGAGTTTTTATCACTAAAGGTGCTTCTGCCACATCTTAGCTATAAATGTGTTGTGGATTGCATGCGTCCAAGAAAAGCAAGTTATAATTTTGTTTGCTGATAGAACTTTCCTCGAGTGAATTCTGAATGTTCCAATGAAATAGTTTCTCTAACCAGTAGATTATCACCTCTTAATATTTCCACTGCATGTTTTTTCTTATGCTTCTGTGGGAGACAGGAGATGGGGTTTGGTTACAATATGGCAAAGAAAGTAAAATGAAAGCAAACTTATATTGGAAGAAAGAAGAAAAGGCAGAAGTATAGCCTTCACCTGTTAGGCAAAGAGAAGCTTTTGAAGGCCGGTACGAAAGTCATTAATCTCTGTGTGTTCAGTTCCCTCTTTCAGTCCAGCTAAATCCTGATGGCTTGACCAATCCTCTGCTGTCCACGAGTTTCCTTAATCTTACGGCATCATCCCATCTTCCAGCCCTAGCAAACATATTTGACAATGTCACATAGTGTCCAGCATTTTCAGGTTCCAAATGGACCAAGTGTTCCGAAGCTAGCACCCCAGTGTTAATGTTTTGGTGAGCCTGAGAGGCAGAAAGCACAGCCCCCCAAATACATTTATCTGGCTCTAAAGGCATTCTCTTGATTAAACCAACACAATCCTCAAGCCGACCAGCACGGGCTAGCAAATCTACAACACAAGCAAAATGTTCCATTTGAGGGTCTACGCCAAAGTCTCTGGTCATTCTGTAAAAGAGTGTGAGCCCCTCATCCACAAGTCCTGAGTGACTACAAGCTGACAGCACAGAAGTAAAAGTTGAAGAGTTAAGGCAAAGGCCAGCATGATTCATCTTCTCCAGGAGTTGCAGAGCAGCTTGTCCAAACCCATGCATTCCAAAACCCCGAATCATTGTGTTCCATGATACTATATCTCTATTTTCCATTGTGGAGAACACATAATATGCAGTTCCAATGAATCCACACTTGGAGTACATGTGGATCAGAGCGTTTGAAGTCGGGACAGCCATACTTAAATCACTTTTCTTGATGTAGGCATGAATTTGCTTTCCAGATTTCAGATCACATACAGGCAAAACGGTGGAAATTGTGGTCTGATCATTCTTAATTCCCATGATCTGCATTTCTGTAAACAATTCAAGTGCCTTATGTCCCATCCCTAGATCAGCAAAACCAAAAATCATTGCGTTCCAAGTAACAATATCAGATTGGTCCATCATGTCAAATACATTTCTTGCATCTTCCATTCTCCTACACTTAGCATACATAGTCAACAACGCAGGTCCAGCTGACTTGTAGAATGCACCCCCAATTACAATTTTAGTCCCATATGCATGAATTTCTCTTCCACATATTAATGCCCCCATATGTCGGCAAGAGGCAAGCACACTAGAAAGGCAATCCAAATCAGCAAAAACTTCCCCTCTACATACCATATCCCTGAAAATTCCCAAGGTAGATTCATGCTTCCCAATCCTTGAATAACCTGACATCAATGTGGTCCAAGAGATTATATTAGGCTCCTTAATCTGCCCCACTATTTTCCAAGCCTCATCACACTGCCCCAGACGGCAATAAGCATCCATTAAAGTGTTCCAAGTCACTAAATCAGGCTCAAAACCTCCCAACCTCATGTCGCCAAATAATTCAACAGCCCACATAAAAACCCCATTACATACATACCCTGAAATCATTGAATTCCATGATAACAAATCCCTTTCCCTCATCATATCAAACACCAGTCTAGCTCTCTGTACATCCCCACACCTCGAATACATGTCAATCAAAGAACTGCAAACTTGCACATTCAGATCAACACCCCATACAAACACATCTTTGTGAACCTGAACACCTACTTCCAAACACAATGCCAGAGTACACGCCCTTAAAACATGAGGAAACACATAACCATCAGGTGAAATACCCTCCAATTTCATATCTTTATAAGTCTCAACGCACTCGTCGAACATTCCATTGCGTGAACGGAATGATATGATTGCGGTCCAAGCAAACACATTTGGTTGCGACAATTTGTCAAATAGAATGTGGGCTGATGAGATATCATTGCAGTCTGCATACATTTGAACCAATTTGGTGGTCATGAATGGGTTACTGCCCAACCCATGTGTGATTATTTGTTGATGGACTTGCTTTCCTTTGTCTAATGCTTTGGAATTGCTGCAAAGTTGGAGAAAATGATTGAGTTTTAATGGAGAGGAGAGTTCGAGCTGGGTTGTGGATAGAGTTGATATTGCTTTCTGGGTGTGCCATACTCTCATTTAAAGTTAAAATCTGCCGTCAAACACAGAGGAATTGTAACGAAATTTGAAAAAGGGAAGCTGGCCACGAGACCGTTGGACAGGAAGCAGGGCCGCAGAAATTTTGGGTGATCGTGTTCTAATTTTTTTTTTTTTGATACATCGTAAAATTTCATAAATTTATATTTATTAAAAATGTATTTAATATTTTTTAAATATAATAGATTAAAAATTAGTATACTCATAAACAAAAAAATAATAATTAGAACTTTTTATCGAGAATGCGACTAATTATTATTATTTACAATTGACCCTGGTATATTTTTATTATTTAAAAGTGTTACAAATTAATTTTATCAATAATATTTCTTTCATATATAAAATCGTTGTAACAAATTTTGTTATGATTCTATTGTTTATTATATAACGACACACATTTTTATATAATAACGAAATAATCTTATAATTTAAAAAAATTATAAAATAACATCAATATGTTCAAAATATATTCGAACATGTCTAAAATTAAACAATTATGTTAGTTGTACCTAATTTGAGATTTAATTGATGAAAACCCAATAGTTTGTGACCATTGGATAAATAATAGAGTTTGTTAAATATTAAAATATCTATATAATAAGATAGCTAGGTGTTTGAACTTATGGGAGTATAGTTTTTCCCCCAAATTTCACACATTTTTCATCTCAAATTTTATAAATCCAACACAAATATTCCACAACACATAGCTACACACATACTTTAGTACACACTCACTACACATACACACACACATTATATATACACTTCAACTGTACACACACACTCCAATACACGCATAATGTCATAATTTAATATTTAATGACTTCAGCCATGGGATATTACTAGTAATATTATATTTAATATCGCAATATATTAGGTTCTAAAATAAAGTTTCAATAACATTGTTTAAAAAATTAATAATCATTGAGGAAGGGTTCTATTTAAATCAATATCACCAAAATACAATATTAGAATATGTACAATTAAATATGTCTAAATTTTATTTCAAAAAATACATGTTTAACATGAAGAAAAAAATTTGAAAAAGTGGGGGGCATGTGCCCACCCTAACTTAAGGGTGGCTCCACCCCCGACGGGGAGGAAGGAGTTTTGACATGGATTGATTGTTTGAAATTGGATTTCGATCTCCCCAAAATAAAAAAAACCCTTTCCTTGCTATCCAAGTAAATATTCATTTTTTTTAAGTTTAATGGTAAAAAATATACGTATGAACTTACTCGCGTTTTGACTAATTTTTTTTCTGATCTAGTCAAAAATGAGTTATTCATGTCAAAACTAAAATATTAATGAAGAATAAATCTCTTGTGAACTAATTCTAATGAATTGTTAAGATTTGAGCTTTTGACATCTAAGTATATAGTTCAACTCTATGACTACTTGAGTTACCCTTCAATTTTTTAAATAAATATTCAATGTAATGTAGCATCAAGTCGAATAATATTACTTAAATCTAATTTATTGACATAATTATTTGTTGCCATTAGACAGTTTATATTGAGACCCACAATTAATTTAATATATATGATAAATTAGGTTAATAAATTATATCAAAAAATAAAATTTAAATATAAAGCTTGAACTTGGCTATTCACTTGGTAACGAGGTTCTTGAGCGGAGCTTACCATAGTCAAATATTAGTTTGAACCAAATGAAAGGTATTGAGTTAGGGTGTCTAGCTCGGCCTGAGAAATTTTTTTGGGTTGGATCTGGGTCAGGAAGGGCTAAGTTATCCGCAATTCAACTCGCCGATCATTGAGCGGCATCTATTGGGTGGCCCTATTGACGCAGGCCTATCGCCTGTTGAGTGGGCTTGCGGACAGGCGTACTGAACAAAGTTTTAATATATAATTTCATTTAAAAATAATGAATATTTTTTTAATCTAATATTTTTATAAATTATATTTTTGAATTAAAAGTAGAGTTACAATGTGCAAAAAAATAAATAATAAATAATTTTATCTATAGAATGAAATGCATCACAATAAAATGAGCACATTTTAACTAGGTTGACACCTATCCACCTATCTATTATTTGTACAACTCTATATTTTAAAATATATATGTTTAATAAGTAAAAATAAAAAAATACATTATTTATAATATTTAAATTTCTAAAATTTCTAATTTTGGCATAGGGACTTATTTCCATGTTTTGACTTGATTGCGCGAACAGATTCTTGTGTTAGGGTTTAACAAGTTTTTTGTGGGTGGGCTATTGGGCCCATTTTTTGGGCGTGGTAAACGGTTTAAGGGTAGGATCAAACCTTCTTTTAAAGAAAATTGAGCTCGAACTTAGGTGGGTCAACTATCAGGCCTTATCGGGTTTCAGATCTATTTTTTTTGAGTCGAGTAACAAGACCCGTGGGAAATCTGGCTCATAGACACCCATAGATCGAGTCCATTAAAATTTTAAAATTTTGATCATTTCATTTTGGTGTTTTTATATTGCCTAGCAATGCACCATAGGCATTGCACATAAATAGTTTTTGGACACAAAAATTAATAAAATATATTAAATATATGTTTATTTGAATGAAAAATCATCTCAACTTTACCAAATTTTATTTTTCATTACTCATAGTCTATTATAAGATTGTGAAAATTTTTTATGTTCCCAACATTCTTTGTTCTAACTATAAAAATTAAAAATTAAAAAAAAAAGAAATAGTTAATTTTTTTTTTAGAATTTTGTCAATGAGATTGATTTTTTTAGTGATGTTTGAGAAATTAAATTTTTTGAAATTCATTTGATTAAGATTTCATTTATAATTTCATGAAAAAAAAAAATAAAAGTTATTGTTAATAAAATGATTACATTGGAACCTTATTACAATTAGAAATTAACTAGGTCAATTGAGATAAAACTTAATATACTACTCTATAATATATATTATCAAGCATATTAAAATTCTAAAAAATTTAAATTTTACCTAAAAATACACTACAATATCTATTTTTACATAAAACCTTAAAACAACTTAAAAAGTTTATTGCAACTGAAGAACTATACTGATGTAACATAAATTAATTTTAAAAAATTATATATACGATTATTTTTTATCTAAGAAATGAAAGGGTTAAACTTTTTTGATGAAAAATAAAATACATATATGTAGGCATAATATTATATTTACATATCAGATGAGTAATATCATATTGATTGAGTTTTTGAATGTTTTTTTAAAACATTTTATTAAAAATATAATGGTGTATATTTTTTAAGGGTAATATAGTTAATCAAAAAGTTTTATAGAAATTGATATTTATATATAAAAAATGGATAATTAAAAGATATTTTATAGATAATTTGAAGATTTAAATAAATAAGGATATGGTGATAATTCAAATATTTAAATATGAAAAAGATAGAGTATAATTATATTTGTATTCACACCTAAAATTAAATTATAAAGATAGAAGAAAAAAAATAAATTTAAGCATCAGTTATAGTGAAGCACGAGTGGTGGTAGTGGTAGTGGACAACAGTAATAGTGGTGAGAGAAGGTGATGGTTATGATGAGTGACGATGACTAGTTGTGATGGTGATAATCATGAGTGACAATAGTGATGGGATGGTGAGGGGGGTGATATTAGTGGGGATGGTGGTGGTGGGGTGGCAACAGTGGTGAAGGTGGCGATGGTGGTTATTGTATGTGGAATAATGATAGTGGGGTGGCAGTAGTAGTGATGGAGATGGTGGTGGTGGTAATAAGGTGGCGAAAACGGTGATGGAGTGATAAAAAGTGATTATAGTGGTGATAGTAATGGTAGTGGGGTGACAACAATGGTAGTGATTGTTGTGACAGAGATGGTGGTGTGGAGGCGTTGGCAACAATTGTCATGCCCCATCCCCGGTCTCTCAAGGATGAGATACGAATAGGTTTTTAATACACCTATTTACAATTATTATAAGCTGGACTAATCAAACATGATATAATCCTACAGGAGTAACAACAACACTCATCACCTTAGTTATTAAGCATGATGGTAAAACCTATCTTATAACCTGTAACATATATAAACACTTGTACCAATCATTTGTTTTCCAGGTTATAAATGTATACAAAATCCCACACCCACATAGCATACATCATAAAATATGCTTGATAAGTCTATTTACAAATATATATTATTAACCTGCCATAATAATCTCTAAAAAATATAATACACAACCCAGAAATTAGTCATATTGACACTCAACTTGAGTGATATTATACTAACGTTGCACAAAACTCAATCAACTGGACAGTGGATCGGTCTGTATCCTCCTTTATAGTACCTGAAAAGAAGAAGCTGTAGGAGTGTGACCTAAACCACGCACTCAGTGAGTATACATGCTGTATATGAAATGAAAATGATAGTAATACACTGAAGTACGTAGATACACGTATCAAACAACAATATTAATCCAATTCAAAAAAATTCACAAGCCACATCATATCTATACTACCCCTCAACGGGTAATTGATTCCACATGGATCCGTGTTTCCTGAACCTCCCGGGAACACCACAGTGTTAGCACATCACTGCATGCCCAGTGACCAGGCATCGACGCCCCCTGTCTCAAACAGTGCGCCACATTCCACAATACATAATACACAATACAAAGCATCACCCAATCACATAAGCACGTAGTACATAATTTTGGAGAATTGCTATAAAATTTTATCATTTACTATTATAATAGCATTTTCAAAACATATAAAGATATACACCCACCTCAGATATACAAATTTATGGCCTTTCGGTCCTATCAGTGGATGCTTTCGGTGTCACCGTATTTGTTCCAATACCGATTGTCTCACTCGTTCCACCTAACACATTTGTAATTACAATATCAATATATTTATTACATTTAATAGTTAATCATGCATTAATGCATGCAAATGATGCACCTCAAAGTGCCCCGATAACCCTGCTTACTACACTATCTACTCACACATTAGCACTTTTGTTCTAGAGATCATATTTCCTCTCCAAATTCTCAAAATCACTCACACTAATTACAATTAGGATTAAGTATGTCAAACACATTAATCGGGGGCTCATTTTCACACATTT